GGGACATCATGCTTGGGAGGGTGGAGGGACAGCGCAGGAGGGGAAGGCCCCCTATTAGGTGGATTGATTCAGTGACTGGGGTAATTAGGATGGGTGTATCAGAGATGGTGCGATTGGCACAGGACAGAGCACAGTTTAGGGCTCTGTACATAGGGTCGCTATGAGTTGCAAGCGACTCTACAGAACATAAGAACAACAACGATCTTGAGGAAAATAATTTTACATATATAAACATATCTTTTGTAATATTATTTGGAATCATAAAAAATGATTAATTGTAATTTACAAAATGTATAGTATTTTGGTTATTAGACTACAAAAGTATGTATAGTTCCAGTTTCTAAGTAGACCCTATATGTGACGTTTAATTGCTGTTGTTATGGTTCTAGATTTATTGTCCATGACTACCCATCCTTGCCTTATGTATTTCTGCTGGAATGGGAGAATTTCCAGTATGTCACTGGATAAATTTAAAAAATATAATCAGAAATACCTTTTTTCAAATTAACTTAAAATTAAAGAAGACTTCTGGTGATATTGATCAATTATTTCTGTATTCTATTCGCTCTTCTTTTTTTGAAAGGAGAGTGAGTCTCCTTTGGGGGATTATTATCACACACAAGTAAAAATTTATTGGTGATGATTAAAAATAGTTGGATCGGTACATCATCAATACTGACAGAAAGTGTCTTGATTCAGAAGAGAACAAGAGATATAAATGCTGAGATAAGATGCATTTTAGTTCGAAATGGAGTATACCAAAACAATCTTTGTTGTTGTTATTATGTGTTGTCTAGTCACCTGCAACTCATAGCAACCCTATGTACTACTACCGCTCTATCCTGTGCCAACCTTACCGTCTCTGACATACCTTCGCACATTACTGCAGTCACTGAATCAATCCCTCTCATTGAGGGTCTTCCTCTCTTGCGCTGTCCCTTCTCCCTCCCAAGAATGATTTCCTTCTCCAAGGACCAGTCACTACTTGCAACACACCCAAAGTATGTCAGACAAAGCTTCAGAATTTTTGCCTCCAACGAGCAGCCTTGTTTCACCTGATCTAGGATGAACCTGTTAGTTATCCTAACAATCTTTGGCATATTCAATACACTTCTCCAGCACCACAGCTCAAAGGCATCGATTCTCCCTCCTTCTATCATCCTTAGTCACTGTCCAGCTTTCTGGCAAATAGTGAGTAATCGCAAAGACCATAGCTGACATTTACTCATGTTATCTACTCAGACTGAAAACTACTCATATGCAAGTTCAAGCTGAAGATAAAGAAAATGGAATAAAATCCACAGGTACCAAAATTTGCCCTTGAGTTTCAAAATTTGACATTCAAATTTCAAAATCATGTCAGGAATAGGTTTTAGGCCTTAAACGCTAATGAGCAATGATGAGATGTGAGAGGATATTAAGTATATAAACCATGAAGAATGCAAAAGGTCATTACAAAAACAGAGGAGTATGAGAAGACCAAGATAGATGTCAAAGGAGACTCTTAATTTTGCACTAGAACACTGAGAAGCCAAAGCAAAGGGAAGAAAACATGATATAAAGAACTGCACTGATGATTTCAAAGGGCAGTGTAGGGAAACAAAATAAAGTATTATAATGAAATGTGTAAATAGGTGGAGTCAGAAAACAATCTTTACAAGTTTTTATTGGCTATGTTGTTGTTGTTCTTGTTATGTGCCATCGAGTCGCTTGCGACTCGTAGCAACCCTATGTACAAGAGCCCTAAATGTTGTTCTATCTTGTGCCAACCTAGCCATTTCAAACGCACTTATTCCCACCGCTC